TTCGATAATAGAACTTCTTATTGAGCCGCTGCCTCCTCTTCTTAGCCACGCCGGACAATGTTCTTGAATTCTTTTGGATAAAGTACGCATCGAACGACCTATATACCTAGCTCCACAAGAGCCGGTAAATTGGTAAATGCACATTGAATTGGTCAGATGCGATAATTTATCTTTCAGATTATTGGTAAACAGTGATCGGCTGGAGAATAATATTCGCAATGTTGCTGCGAAGAATGTTCTTTTTAAAGAATCTGAAATTCTCCTCTTTAAGATATATGCGGCTCTATCACCTTTGAAGTCGATGTTCATGTATAAAATTTTCTTTTCTACTGCAGTTGTTTGTGGTCTTGGCATTTTCGGTTTCATGTCCTTATCAATGTATATAGAAGGATATCCGTTTTTGATTAGTATCTCTTTTAAAAAACCCAATTCTTCCTCTACGACCTCGGGGCTACAGATTCTTCGTATTCTTGTGGCGAGACTTATTATTAAGTTTCTTTTTCGGCTGATGGGAACCCAGCTGTGGAAATTTGATAGTTGGCCATTGCACATGGGTTTCCTGTAGATAGATCTTTTTAAAGTACCATCTTGTTATATCTACATCAAGGAAGTGAATATTTTGTTTGCTTTCAACTTCCATTGTAAATTTTATTGATGGGTGACAATTATTAAATGTATTTAGGAGATCACTTAAGTTACATTTGTTATCACAAATGATAAAGATATCATCCATATACCTTTTATATAAGTGGAGGTTTTCTATAATTTTTTAATTTGGTTGTTTTCTAAACTGGCCATGAAGCAATCTGTCAGTAATGGACCAAGTGGGGATCCCATTGCTATACCATCCTTCTGTCTATGAATTACGTCGTTGAATGTGAACTGTACATTGCAAGTACAACGTAGTAATAATTCCTTCAAATAAACCTCAGGTATCCCAATGTTTATCTCAGTATTGTTTATGTACTTGCAGATAAAATTAATGGTTTCTGTAAGTGGGACATTAGTGAATAATGATTCCACATCCGGAGATAGCATAATTTTGCCACTTACATTCACTTCTTTTATGTGCTCGATAAATTCAAAAGTATCACGTACAGAATGTTTACAAATGAGTTTTCTAACGGGTTCTAAGAGATTCGCCAACCACTTTGCTATAGGGTGGTAAGGGGATCCAGACATATGGAGAATCGGCCTAAGAGGTAGGCCAGGTTTGTGTATTTTTGGCAAACCGTATAATCGCGGTATTATCGATGCTGTTGGTCTTATGTGCTGAAATACCTGTTCGTTGATTAACTGCTCTTTTTTCATTTTCTTAAGGACGTCAATTAGTTGCTTTTCTATAATTTCAGTCTTGTTTTTCTCACTGTTGGGTTTTGAGAATTTGATGTCATCTGATAACAACGTTGCCATTTTTTCAACATAATCCTTGCGATCTAGCAGCACTAAACCAGCACCTTTATCTGGACGTGTTATGATCAAGTCTTTACCATTTCTAAGTAGTTTTATCTGATTTCTATGCTCTTTTGTTAGTAGACTTTTGCCTGTTACTTTTGTGCTAATATATTGGTTGCAGCTGTCAAGAAGAGTAGATTTGAAACGTTGGAATTCTTGATTAGAGATTGGATTAAGACCATTTGTTTGTTTGATTAAGTTTTTGAATTGAACATGTGTGTTGATTTTGCTAAATTTTTCATTCATGTCACAGAACTTTATCCCCAAAGATAAGGCTTCTAATTGTACATTTGTCAACGATATTGAAGAATGATTAAATACATATCTCTCAGGGTTGTTACGAAAGTTGTGCTGTGTTTCTGTGGTTTTTAAAATTTTAGTGAGATCTTATATTAAGTTTTTTGTGCGTTTGTTGATAACTGTGGTAACATAATCGGTGAAAAGATTGTGTTCGTTAGGTGATAATTCATATAATACCGGAGATCTTTGTGAAATGTTAAGTTCCAGTAACGGGATGCGAGTCAGTAACATTTTGTGCATGGCGTTTAAGAGATTTCGAGTTTGGATAAATATGGTTTCTTCGAAGAATTTTCCATGTGCACTTACCAATTTACCGGCTCTTGTGGAGCTAGGTATATAGGTCGTTCGATGCGTACTTTATCCAAAAGAATTCAAGAACATTGTCCGGCGTGGCTAAGAAGAGGAGGCAGCGGCTCAATAAGAAGTTCTATTATCGAACACCTTGTGAACACAGGTCACTCAATCAAGACAGACTCTGCGTTCAAAGTCATCTACAAGGTAAGTAGAAGCCTTCCTAAGACAATTAGACTACATCTTCTTTGCATTGCCGAGGCAATAGCCATACATTTTGAAAAACCAGAATTATGTGTACAAAAGAGACTGGTACAACCTCTTCTTTTACCATGGTCTTAATGTATTAAAATTTTTTCTCTTTCTCATTACTCTTGTTCTTTTACAGCCACCTGCTTCACCTTCCATTTTCCCTTCAAATCTTGTACCCCCAACCGGTTTGTTTTTATTTCAACGATCGTTCCGATTACATTTCGTCTCTGTTTCAACATTTTATGTTATTTTATCATGCTGAGCCACTCTTACCCGATGAATATCTAAGCCATTAACTATCAAACTTTCCTTGTTTTTAAAAATTTTTCTGATACCTTTGTTTATTTAACCTCACTGTCACCAGGTATATTATAAGTTTATTATCAGTAATATTATCACTCTGTAAAAACAAGTATATATATTTGCGATTGTACAGCTTTGAAAATGAATTCTCCGAAAAGAGAACTCTTCGCTGAACTAATCTTTTTTTCGTATTTAATGAGATATTATTGTTGATGTCGTACATATACCAACGAGGTCTCGATAAATACCAATGAAATCTGTGGTAGAGGCAGCGTAAATATATATGGAAAACAAGAGTGGACTTAATTCACTTCCCTGGATGACTTCAATAGTTACTGGTCTAGGTGATGAGAGATAGTCACTGTACTTAAGCATTTGTTTACGCTCTGTTAAGAATGAAACGAACCATGTTTAGAGTGAGTTGTGGGTTCCGAAGGACTGTAGTTTGACTAGAATCCTTTTGTGTGGGAACTTATCAAAAGCATGCTTAAAGTATAAGGATAAGACTGATTCAAACAGTCCGTTGCCTTGTTTCAGAGTTATATCATTCAGGTAGTCTACTAGGCATGAATCGCATGATCTGGATCTAAGATATCCATGGTGAGAGGTCGACACATGATTTTTAGTAAGCAGATGTTGGACTACCGCCGCTTTAACTACTTTTTCTATCACTCTAGATACCACTGAAGTTATGCTTATGAGACGGTAATTTTCAACATTTGCTTCAGTTCCTGTCTTAATTGTGGGGATGATGTGTGTAGTTTTCCAGGCAGTGGGATAACACGCAGTAGAGAGTGGTATAGCAATTATTTCGAGAAGTAGAACACACATCATCACCACGTTTTAGCGCGCTAGCCGGAAAACCATCTGGTCCATCGGTGAAAGAGTGTTTCAATGTACTAATTGCCGTAGAGATATTTTGTACATTATTAATTTCACAGGGAGGTACTGGCATTCGTTCCGAATCACTTGGTGGTTTTTCGCTAGTTAATGAGAAACAAAAGCGTTCACTAAACAGTTCCGTAACAAGTTTAGGATCTTCCTATACTTATTTGTCTTTAATGAATATGTTCCTTCTCAATTTAGAACGTTTAAGTTTATTTCGAAAGAGTATGGTGAGTGCAAATGAGTTGTTAGTAAGTTCGACAGCACGTTGTTCGTGTGCAACTCTTTTTCGTGTAAGTATTGCCTCTGTTCGGACAAATAATTATTTCGTCGTCACTAAAGAGGGGAAGTCATAAAAGTTATAGGGTCGAGTACACCGTTTTTGAAGACGTCATCGTGTACCGACCGGTATATAGAAGTCTTTGGATAAATTAGGTCTCCAGTATTCTAAAAGTACTATTTTGTTGTTGGTACTTCTGGTGTTGTGATAAAATATATGAGTTAGTGTGACTGTGTTGTTCGCAGTAAAGAAAGTTCCGCAATCAGTGCTTCTTAGGTAGTTGTGGAAGTTATTCCATTCAACCTTGCCATAGTGTCTACGAAGTGTTACAGTTTTACGCCTATCGGTTGTAGTTTTTATATTAAGGCTGTATATGACGATGTTACGGTCACTGCCTGGAACCGATTTTAATATACACATTATTGTGGGTGAGGTTATTGGTAAAGACTAAGTCTAAGATATTTTGATGTCTGGTAGGGCTACTAATATAGTGAGTTTGTAACAGATTTGGTTGGTTGGTAAAGAGTTGACCTCAAACAACCAAGCATATGCCAAACAGCATAGTTCAACTATTTATTCACTTCCTCATTTTGTATAGGCGTTATATTTCCTATTATCTTATATTTAATGTTGAGAGGGTTTGTTTGTCTGAACAAATAATCCCACACTCCACTGTGACTGTGCGACGATCTAAATAAAGACCTATTCACTAGTTGTCTGGTTTCTTCTATCAGTAGCACAAAGGTTACCTATAGGCACGAAAAGTTCACTGTTCGAGCTCTGAATATTCAGTAAATGATTAATGACGTTTCAGCGCCTTGACTGGGTACCAGGAAATTTCAGGCATTTTGAAGTCACCACATATAAGCTTGCCTGTGAATGGAACGTATGATGCTAGTGTCAATACCTCCGATAATGTTGCCATTTCACCCACTGATGGGTTAGGTTGACAGTGGACATAGCCGAACAGTAAAGTAATGGAACTTGATGGCTTAAAAACAATCCACACCGAATCCTTCAGTTTGTTTAGTTCAGGCATATTACACAATAGCGATTTTGAGCTAGAGTGTAAATAAGGCATCCTCCACCTCGTCCTTTAAACTTATCACTTGTGTATAGGGAATAGTAATCAAGAGATATACTTTGGTCGGAAATATTAACTTTAGTCCATGCTTCAGATATCATTATGAGCGATGGTTGTTAAATGGATACAAACAGGGCTAAATCCGTCTTTTTATTGCAGATTTCGTTGTGAATTAGTGCTTAGTTCTTCTTCTTGTCTTCGATCACGGCGCCATAATGTCACTTTATCTTTTAAAGAGGATAAAATTTTAATTTCTTTGCTAAGTAGATATTCTAAACGAGCACTATATTCTTCAACATCGAATTCCACTTGATTTGATATTTTGTATAAAGAATAATGTTCTTTAGTCCAATCGCTCATAGAATGACAAACAGCTTTGTGATCATCGCAAATTTCTTCTTCCATGCGTTCAATCTGATCGATAACTTCATGAAAATGAAGAACTTCCTCAGGTACTTCACCTTCATTAGCTGATCGAAGCATAGCTAAATCACCGTCACCGCCAGCAATTGAATTAACATGATTATTTGTTAATGTATCATTCTGCCAGTTGTTATTACTAAAATCATTATTATTGGATGAAGGGTAATAATTTTTCGACAAGATATTCCCGCTTGTCCCTATATTAGTACTTGGAGGATTCCGAAAGTTGATTTGAGGAGGCACCGTGCCTCCAGCAACAGTACAATTTGAACTACGAGATGATAACTGTGGTTGATTAGTATTACCATTTGCTGGTAGATCAGTATTACTGTTACTTGCTGACAAAGTTCCTGGTCCAAGTTCTTTCACACGATCAGCCTAACGTAGTGTATTTAATGTATGTTCACAGCTGGACATACCAGGTGATATCATAGCAATCATACACGTTCGAGAACGATCTCCAATAAATGAATCACGCAGTACTTGAGTTAATTTACTCGCACGAAAAGGTAGATGTGCACCACGCCGACCAAGAGCACGAATGCATTCCTTTAAAGCTAAAAGACTTTTATTAATTTCAGCGCCTTACATTCGAGTATGTCTATCAGAACTACTTGTATCCACACCACGTTCATTACCGGCCAAATCAATAAGTGAAAATTTACCATGAATTTTCCCCGTAGATTGTTTTTTTAAAATCAATTGAAAGACAGCATGCGAACGACTAGAATGTTGATTAGCTGATGTTTGACCACTAGTTCGAATATGTGCACCATGTTGTAGAGGTTTTAAAACACAATCAACTGAATTCACTTCTTCTTCACGTAATCCAACTATTTGAACTTGACCTTTAGCATCTTCCAGAACTCGAAGTTTGGCTTTTTTATTTAACAAGTCAAAAACTTTCCCACTGTATATTTCGAAAAATGTTGCAACAATTCGAAGATTCTCATTCCTATACGTAGTTGTATTCAAATCGAAGACATCAGCAGCTGCTAAGGCGTAAATTCCATTAGAACAATTTTGTTGACCACGAGCATGAAATTCACCACCCATTGTATGTGTTTTCCCAGATCCTGTTTGACCATAAGCAAAGCATGTGGCCATGCCACGCTGAAATATACATTCTACTAAAGGTTTTGCAGTATACCGATACACAAGTTCATTATCCGATGTATCATCAAATGCATAATCAAAACGGAATTGTTGATTTTCAAGATATTTCGTTAGATCAACTTTAGTTTTTGGTTCATGGACAAGTACATGTTGTTTATTCGGGACTGTGATCACATCAATTTCACGACGGCCAAGTTCTTTTTTGTTCATAGGACGTTTACGTACACAAACACCTATTTGATGATCTTCTATTAAATCTGTATTGGTTAAGGGTCTGTATTCCAATGTATTTCGATATTCATGAATCATCATATGAAACTCATAACTAGGATTGGTTGGGTCTAAATCAATTTGATCACGAACTGCTTTCTGGGCAGCACGTCGTTCTTCACGTCGCTGTTGTATTCGCTCGATTACTTTCACACAATTAGACTTGCGTAGAGTTCCACTACCACCTGCGGCACCAGCGTTAACACCAGGAGCAGTAGTAGGTGAACTTGCATTCAGTGCAGACAATGTACTATTTACAATAGGTGCGCCTAAATTAGAATTTGCGCGACCTATCAGACGGCGAGAAGCATCACCTGCAAAGCCACGGTTCCCATTGATTATTCCTGATTGAAGGTTATCTTCAATTACATCACCGATATCCTGTTCCATCCGTTCAGTGAGTAAAGTATTATTTTCAGGTTCCCGTAACATACTGGTCACATGATTATAATCATTGAGGTCCAGTTGAACAGATTCTGATGGTTCCAGATCTTCATCCATTGGCTCATCAGAAATTGCACGATGTTGATGTACATTATAACGGAATCCTTCATTGTGAGTGTGACTAATATCCACAGAATTATGTACCGGGAGAGGAGCTTGAGATCGAGAAGAGTTATTTGTACGGTCATCATAGGCAGATATTGTTGTAGAGCGAGTGGGAACATGGCCAATAGGCACACGAGAAGACGGGACAGGAACGCGTGTTGATGGGGCAATCAAACGAGGTTGATTACTAGATGAGTATTCTATTTGAGTGGCGTTAACTTTGTTACTAGATGGAGCGAGAACAGAAGCAGAAGCCGCCACAGGAACAGAATTTTGAGACTGCCGTATATCAGTAGGAAGATTGACTCCGGGACGGTGTGAGGAATTCGGAACTTCTTTAACTAAATTGTTTCGACTGATATCAGCATTCCCATAAACATTATCTACGATGGGACATGAATATCTTAAATTCGGGTTCAATTGAAGGATTGCTTCCAATTCTATCTCCTTTCCTTTAGCTTCTCCTTTTTCATACCATTCTACTGTCACACTTTTTGTATTGGGATTAATACCACTCACAATAGCCGAATGTACACGACCATCTGTTCTCTGTATATCTACATTTATTCCAACAGCTAGAACGCCACCATCATAATCCGCCATATTTCATTGGTGCATAATACCACAAGAATCAGGAGCCCCTCAGATCCTCATTTTGTATAGGCGTTATATTTCCTATTATCTTATATTTAATGTTGAGAGGGTTTGTTTGTCTGAACAAATAATCCCACACTCCACTGTGACTGTGCGACGATCTAAATAAAGACCTATTCACTAGTTGTCTGGTTTCTTCTATCAGTAGCACAAAGGTTACCTATAGGCACGAAAAGTTCACTGTTCGAGCTCTGAATATTCAGTAAATGATTAATGACGTTTCAGCGCCTTGACTGGGTACCAGGAAATTTCAGGCATTTTGAAGTCACCACATATAAGCTTGCCTGTGAATGGAACGTATGATGCTAGTGTCAATACCTCCGATAATGTTGCCATTTCACCCACTGATGGGTTAGGTTGACAGTGGACATAGCCGAACAGTAAAGTAATGGAACTTGATGGCTTAAAAACAATCCACACCGAATCCTTCAGTTTGTTTAGTTCAGGCATATTACACAATAGCGATTTTGAGCTAGAGTGTAAATAAGGCATCCTCCACCTCGTCCTTTAAACTTATCACTTGTGTATAGGGAATAGTAATCAAGAGATATACTTTGGTCGGAAATATTAACTTTAGTCCATGCTTCAGATATCATTATGAGCGATGGTTGTTAAATGGATACAAACAGGGCTAAATCCGTCTTTTTATTGCAGATCGACCTAGCGTTGATAAGACACATATTTAACAAATGACCTACTAATTTAAAATGGGTGAAAGTATCTCGATTAAAGTTGTCATAACCCTCGCGGGTGTGATATGGTTTTAAAGTGAGGGATTTAATGTTCTTCAACAGCTCGGTATTATGATAGCTAGAGTTAGCGTGGGATGTATCAAATGAGCTAGTAAAGTTGCTTGGAGAGTTTACACAGGAGGAAGGAGTGAGGTTACTCTTCGATTAAAACTGTACGGAGGGAGCAAGTTTATATTCCGCATGTGAACAAGAGTGAAACAACAGTCAAAACCCTAACAACGTTCAGATGATGACCATGTTTCAGGAACCTTAAACAGTATGGTAATAATGATTTCAGACGAATCAAAAGAGGAGCGAAATGCATCTAAATACAGACAACAGTGGAAATATCGATAGATAAAAAGAAGAAACAAAGGAAAATTCATAGCGTAAAACATATATAGAGGGATTTTCCCAAACATTCTTACCAGCCGGCGAAATTCCTCCGTGCAACACAGAAGTCCCCTTGATACTTAAATTCATGGTTCCGACCTAATAAATTAACATTTTTAAAGGCTGAGTAGAATTTCTAGCGATGCACCTGCTTGACATCTAGCTTCTTACTAATTTATATCGAACCAGAACATGAATTGTATGCTAGCAGAACGTAAGAACCATGATGTATGGATTAATTTAAAAGAGAAAGAAACAAGAAAATTGGAGATTTGACCATCCAGTAAACATATTGGACGTGATTATATTTAAATGGTGAAAGTGACTGATAAAAATCAGGACCAACTTTCACGGGTGATTAAGGCTGTCTGACAGCTAGTACAGAGAGCTTTTAAGAAAGTTGGAAGTGGGTTGGCAGTGAAATATATAGTGTAAAATAGTTCATTCACAGAGTATTAGAATGCCCCGCTTTATTGGCAGTGCCGTGGACTGAAAAATTAAGTTATTTCGGATTCTTTTAAGAGTTGGTTCGTCGTTTCCTTAAGGGCTCAAAATAGTACCTTATATAGATTTACTGTCAACTATCTTTTTTTCTGTTTGATTTCATATTCCTAAGATCTTGACTGGATTGATAAATTTATAAAGATACGTTAATCTGTTAAATGAGGACTTTTTCATTTAAGTTCACAATTATTTGGCATAATTAACAGGATTTCACCAAATCAAATTTAGAGGTCAGAATATTAATTTTCGGAGTTTAAAAAACTTGTGGATTCAAAGTATTCAATTTGAAAGAAGGAAATCAACTTTTAGTGGTTAATGTTCAAGTACAAATATCAGATTCCAACGTAGAATTTTGCTTTGTCTTAACGAATTTATGACTAAATACAATTAGCGCGTAAGTAGAAATAATTCGGCCGTTTATGTTCTTTTAAGAAATGGTCGGTAATGGTGAATACGAGGATCAAAACTCCTCAAATGCGTCATCATTTTGGGAGTGTCGAGAATATCATCGGACGGTTAAACGCGTGGATGCTGCATACAAACTTTGTAATGAGTTATGTTTAATGATACAAGAACGGGCAGAATTAGAAAAAGCCTATTCATCTAATCTTAAGAAATGGTCTTCTCGATGGCTTAGTTTCCTTGATTCTGGTCTAGAGTATGGTTCTGGATCCTCCCCTTGGAAAGGATTATGTAAGGAAGCTGAAGCTGTATCAAATGCCCATCAAGTAAGAACTTTTTCAGTGACTTAATTATCGCGACCCCTTTCAAAATACTGGCAAATCTCTGTACTGCTAGATCTAGTGTTCAAAATGTCAACTGAGTTGGGTTATACGATTAGTTAGTTTTTGTATTTGCGTAGTGGTTTTGGCAACGATTGAGCGAATGCATACGTGATGAAATCGCTCATGTTATACACAACCTTGGTTGTCGTCCTCGTTGCTGACTAGTCCTTATTAAAATACGATCTCTGTGTACTTTGCTGTTTTTCCTTTTGAAACCTTTGGTGGCTATCTTAACTGCGATTATTTATTTGTCATTAATTAGTGATAATCGGTAGCCTGAGCGCATACCATCAGTGCTTATTTGTTGTTCGTAAGTTTATACTAAAAATCATTCACGGAATTCGAAAGTTGTAATAAACAACTACAAAATTATATCTGTTAGCTTAGTCTGGAAAACCTTCGCTTGGGTATTAAGTAAGTCATAATAATACTTCCAAGTCATGGTTTCCAGAAGAATCAGTAACAGCATGATTTGCTACTTTTTAAACTCGAGTATCTAAAGGTTACGACTTGGATAGTGATTAGGTACAAATTGGAGCTGTTTGTGACTTCATTTTGTCTCATTCAGGAAAATACACTTGCAGAAACTTACTAGAATAATATTATCACATGCAATTGACCTTCTGTCCTCAATACACAAAGCCGCACCTCAGTCGTTTACCTAGTTTCGTTGCATCCCCCGTATTGTCTTCTGGCTAAGTAGATTAGGTTGGTTCGTGCTACTGTAAAGTGATTTTAGTCCACTGTCAACAAAAAGAAATCGTACCAATCTATCTGCTTATTGGGAATTGCCAAAAACCTTAAAATAATTTCATCACTTGTCCTAGATAAGTGTGTTGGTGTTGGATTTTTTATTTGTGGTGAGTTTATCTTTTTAGCACGAAATATGATGATATCTGTGGTAGTATTTAGTAGGTGGCATTGTGCGTCTAGACATGACAGTCATCATACGATTCACATAATGCTCTGTGTTAAGAAATATAATCGGCTTATTACTAAAAATTGACATGCCCTAATAGATAGGTCAGTATTGAGCAGAATTGAATCTTTACTTTCATATTGGTTACAGTTGACTGTGTTCAAACTTTAGTGGTTGTCAGTGGCAGTATGATTAAACTTATAATTATTACTAAAGCAACCTGTAAATCTAATTGTGAGTGGTGAGTATCAAGTACTACGTTAACTCGTCTATTTATCGAGTTTATAGGGAGCGTTTTTAAAACAATTAGTAATTGACGTGAATGCTGAAAGTACTTTTGGATGATGCGAATAAACCTCATTTATCTAATGAATATGGTGGTCTTGAGTGATTTTAAAGGTATGAGGGAAGTTATCACTTCCTGGTTGCTTATACAATGAAGGGTCCCTTTAGAGGTAACTGAAAAGGAAATTGGATTAGTCATATTGACCAGAAGCGTGACCGCAATATCCAAGAGGCAGCTGCTTGAGGCTGGCCACGCATGACCTTTTTGCGGGTGATTTTTGTGTTAGCTTCGTAGTTATTGAGACCTTACTGCCGGAGACGGAATAAGGCGAGGTGTACATTCTTCGGATTAACCTTTCCTCATCCCCCTTCTTTTGTGGGAAGACGGCATCGTTGTAATGCTGGTTTTTTGAAGGAAGCACCTTACTGTCGTCATACCTCTATACAGTCAGCAGTACGACTTCGCCTTTAGGCCCTGGGTTCTCTGCTTTTTGTTCTAACGCTCGTCAACCGACCTGCCTGGCATGGAAGGACCTTGAGGAAGGATTGTTCTGGCCAGTATAACCCGACTGATTCATAACGAAAGGCAAGGCCGACCACCAAGTCAGGGCAGCAGCACCGGTCAGGTGTAAATAAACATAACATTGTGTGTGTGGCGCATATATATGTGGCGACTCTACAACTACCCTCCATTCCCAGACAGTGTGAATGGAACATTGAAGTAGGTCCACCAACTCTAGCAGAAGTTCAAAAGGCTATATTCAATCTGAAACGAGGAAAGGCAGCTGGTCCAGATGGATTGGCTCCAGAGGTCTTTAAGGATGGTGGTCCAATTTTAGCGGTTAGGTTGACTAATATTTTAGCTAAGATCTGGGAGTTAGACGTTATTCCATCTGACTGGTCGCAATCACTTATCGTCCCAATATATAAGAAAGGGTCAAAATCATCTTGTGACAACCACAGAGGGATTAGTTTAACTAATATAGTATCTAAAATACTAGCCTCGATAATTGTCAGACGCCTAACTAAGACTCGTGAACTGCAAACACGAGAGAACCAAGCTGGCTTCAGACCTGGTCGTGGCTGCATCGACCACATATTCACCATTCGTCAGATTCTAGAACACAGGCATACTTATCGACGTCCGACAATGGTGGTCTTTCTTGACTTAAAAGCAGCATTTGACTCGGTAGACCGCGAGATTCTGTGGCATTGTCTGTCATTGAAAGGCGTACCCCAGAAGTACATAAACCTTGTGAAGGCTCTGTACTCGAACACTACTAGTCGAGTGAGAGCTTATGGCGAACTGTCATCTGCTTTTGCAACCTCAAG